CAGGGGAAGTACAAGGAGGCCGAGCGGATACACCGGTAGGAATTAGGCTTGAGTGAAAAGGTCTTGGGCAAGGTGCGTCCTGGTATACTTGAGTAAGAAATCCGTGTGGTGTGTTTGAGAGCAGGGCACATTTGTTTGTTGCTTTACTCACTCTTTCTTATTCTCTTATATTTTCTTCTCATAGCGTGCCACAGGAAGGGTCTGGGAGGGCGAGTTACTATATAGTTATCCTTTAATTCTACTATATTCTACTGTTTTCGGTGTCTTTCTCTGCCGGTAAATTGGCTGGCTGGGAATATTGACTTGCCACAAGCTAACCCAGATAGGAAGTAGTAGCCTATTCAATCCTCTAGAGGTGGCCAGGCTCTAGCTGAATGATCCTTGTTGAGCCACCTAGCGGACTCAACGGGCTGAGAAGCGGAATACGATCCACTCCTATGCATTGTAACATCGGGGCATTAACTGTGATAGGTTCGACTTGTCCCTGCAAGTGAGTTTTATATAGCTCCAATGTTTATAAGTCCTAGATAGGTTCCTGAAAACGTACTGAGGTACTATTAGGCTTTTTTATCTTAGTTTAATAGATATAAACCTACCTTATAGAAACGAGTCTGAGGGTTCTAGGAGATGAGCATCCTAACACGCTGACCAGCATAGGCAACCTGGCGTCGATGTACCGGAACCAAGGCCGGTAGAAGGAGGCCGAGCGCCGGGCTAGGGCCGGTACTCGCAGCACGAGCACGGCAGGTCGTTGAGTCCACATCGCTACATTCTCGCTGAAGACTCCTCTTAGGCCGGCCGAAGAGACCGGCCTACGGTGTAGCCGTCAAATTTGACCTGGTTGAGGACGGCGGCCCGTGGGATCGGCATCCTTTGACACATATGAACACGAAAGCGGCCATTACCCTAGACCGTGTAGAGGAGGTCACAAACACGTTTGGTTGGCTAAGAGCGGGTTCGCAACGCGTTAGTGAAAGCGTGGTCACAATAAAGCGACATTAGATTCACACCACAGCAAAAGTCAGAAAACGGAATTGGAAAACGGAGATGTGAAAACTGAGCGCGAACACGTTCCCTACCGTTTCAATCATCAGAAAACGTTCCTTCACGTGACCTGAACTTTGCTGAGTCAGCAGCACAACCGAAAATGAAAGTGAAATACTAGTTCCAGATTCATGTTCACGGCCTCCCCACAATAGCGACATCTTCTTGTCTTCGTTGTTGTTCAAAGGGGGCGGTTTCTTGTCCTCAGAGCGACCAGTTTTGGACCCTTTTGAGCGGATAAGGAAGATTTATATGCAAAACATAAAGAGGATGGCTAAGTGAAGTAGGCGGTGTAAAAGGCGGTGTATAAAACGGTGGGCAGGAGATAGGTTACAGTTCTTGGAGCAAACAGAGCTTGGA